GAAGGAAGGAAGGAAGGAAGGAAGGAAGGAAGGAAGGAAGGAAGGAAAGAGGGAGGGAAGGAAGGAAGAATGGAAAGATGTAGAGAATCAAAAAATGTAGAAATTTCTATACCTTCTCCCCAAAATAATGCTTTGAAAAGGGAAAGAGAACAGCTTAGCTGTGTTTAAGGATAAAGACGACTATACAGAAAACAATATCATGGGGAAAATATAGGAACCTCAGGCAGATCTTCTAAAATGGCTGGGAGATTTTGTTAAGGCATATCATATATTCTGAACTAAATCTGAATGAGAAAAAAAGCTGAAGTGTAATGAAGCTAATCATGCCTAATTAACTAATCATGTATTCATTAATATAAAGAAATTTACAACGCTATGACAAAATTAATTCAATTAAGTGTAACAGGATGCTAAACAGGACTTTCCCTACTGCTTCTGAGTTTTGACAGAAACATCAAAGGTTGGGAACTACTCTGTTCTAAAACAAAATCAGTTTAGTGCATGAGTCCCCCCACCCACACAGCTAAGAGAGCAAAAAGCTAGACTTCAATGAGTGCAGACTTCAGTGAGCTCACTAGCAGTGAGCATTTCCAAGTCCTGATCTCAGAGGTTTGGTACCGACGGTCCCAAGTCAGAATCCCAGAAAGCTGTGTCCACATGAACTACATGCCATTCTACTTAAAAAAATCTGGGGAAATCTAGAAGAAAGTGGTCTCTGGGTCAGATGTAGGAAACACTGAACTGGGATAATTCCTGAAGTAAGGAAGGAAATCTGGATATTTGCAATTGTAAAATAATAAGAAACACTGGGCTTCTGCCTCAGGATTTGGATGCAGAATTCCTTAAATCTCTTGGAACCTCACTCAGGGTGACCTTTTCTAGTTCCCATTATTTGCCTGCAAATTTCATGATTCCCTTGTTTTTAATTGCTGAATAGTAGTCCATTGTGTAAATGTACCACAATTTCTGTATCCATTCCTCAATTGAGGGACATCTGGGTTGTTTCCAGATTCTGGCTATTATGAATAAAGCTGCTACGAGCAAATGTTCTTGTTGTGTACATGAGCATATTTTGGATATATGCCTAGGAGTAGTATAGTTGGATCTTGAGGTAGCACTATTCCTAACTGTCTGAAAAAGGGCCAGATTGATTTCCAAAGTGGTTGTACAAGTTTACATTCCCAACCAGCAATGGAGGAGGGTTCCCATTTCACCACATCCTCTCCAGCATGTGTTGTCACTTGAGTTTTGATCTTAGCCATTCTGATGGTGTAAGGTGAAATCTCAGAGTATTAAACATATATAATAGGATAATCATACTAAAATATGTACACCTAAGGAAGCTAAGCAAGAAGGAGGCCCCTGGGTAAGATGATCAATCCTCATTCAGAAAGGCAAACGGCACAGACATCAAAAGAGGGAGAAACAGGGAATATGACAGGAGCCTACCACAGAGGGCTTCTGAAAGACTCTACACAACAGGGTATTAGAGCAGATGCTGAGACTCATAGCCAAACTTTGGGCAGAGTGCAAGGAATCTTATAAAAGAAGGGGGAGACAGAAAGACCTGGAGGGGAAAGGAGCTCCACAAGGAGATGAACGAACAGAGACAAAATATCTGAGCACAGGGGTCTTTCTGAGACTGATACTCTAACCAAGGACCATTCATGGAGATAGCCTAGAACCCCTGCACAGATGTAGCCCTTGGCAGCTCAGTATCCAAGTGGGTACCTTAGTAAGGGGAGCAGGGGCCGTCTCTGACATGAACTCAGTGGCTCGCTCTTTGATCACCTCCCTTTGAGGGAGGAGCAGCCTTACTAGGCCACAGAGGAAGACAATGCAGCCAGTCCTGATGAGGCCTGATAGGCTAGTGTCAGAGGGAATGGGAGGAGAACCTCACCTATTAGTGGACTAGGGGAGGGGCATGGGAGGAGGAGAAGAAGGAGGGAGGGCCAGATTGGGAGGGGCTGAGGGAGGGGGCTATAGCTGGGATACAAAGTGAATAAATTGTAATTTAAAAAAAAAAAATCTCTTGGAACCTCCTGGGTGTCAGAGCAGCTTTGGTTCCCGTGATGCAGGTCTTCCTGGCTCCAGGATGACAGCTGGCTACTAGCTTTAAAAGACTAAATCATGGTGGAATGTAATGATAATTTTGGCTCTTTTTTAAAAAACACATAACTGTTATAGGGATATGTTTTGAATTAACAGCAGGTGTGGTTTATTGGGCTGCTTCAAACTGTCCACAGCAGCTAACTATGATTTGCCTCCCGCTCTAGATGGGCCATGATTTGGCTAGCTGACGATAGTTTACTTTTGGAATTCCAGAAACTCTTCAGAGGATGTATAAATGCCAGAGCCCCAAGAGAGGTATCGGGCAGGCCAATCAGATTATGTCAGAGGCAGTCCCTCTTCCCATTACTATGTAACCCACTTGGACACTGAACTGCCATGGGCTACACCTGTGCAGGGGTTCCAGGTCATCTCCACGAATAGTCCTTGGTTGGAGTATGATTTTCTGGGAAGTCCCCTGTGTTCAAATTATCTTGTTCTGTTGCTCTCCTTGTGGAGCTCGTTGATCACCTTCTCCTGAGGGGGAAGCAGCCTTACCAGGCCATGGTAGAGGACAATGTAGCCACTTTTGATGAGAACTGATAGACTAAGATCAGAAAGGAGAGGAGAACCTCCCCTATCAGTGGACTTGGGGAGTGGCATGCATGCAGAAAGGGGAGGGAGGGTGGGATCGAGAGGGGAGGAGGGAGGGGCTTATGGGGGGATACAAAATGGATAAAGTGTAATTAATAAAAAATTTAAAAAATAAAAAATTAAATAAAAATTTTAAAAAAAAGAGAGGTAGTGGCTGTTATTGCCGCTGCTGCTGTTGCTGGTTGCTGGTTGCTGGTTGCTGGTTTTTGGATTGCTGGTTGCTGGTAGCTGGTTGCGGGTGGCTGGTTGATGGTTGATGGTTGATGGTTGCTGGTTTTTGGATTGCTGGCTGGAGATATCCTGAGGATGAAGATCAGATTTGCCCCAAGGAATTTGATGCCCGTAGTCCACAGGAAGTAGTCTAATGATAACAACACCCTCTTTCCCCTCTATCCTTCTTTCTCTTCTACCTACTGTTGGAGGGTTGGAAGGAATAGGAGTGGTGCATGGAAGGAGAAAAAGGAACACAATAAAGTAATGGAAGCATAGACTTTTCTCTTCACTCCAAACTACTGGGAAGCAAAAGAAAACACTGTAAAATGTGTTATCAATTAATCATGCCTTCACACAAAAACTCTACACTGCAGGATTTGTAAGCACACCCATGTATCAGGAGGTTGATGTACATGGATCCACAAACCAGGAGCTCCTGGACCTGGGACCCTTGAAGCATTGTCTCATCTAGCTCTGACTGCCTGTTGCCATTTTTGTGTGTCCTTTGTAATAAATGAACAAATGGTGTCAAGTGTCCCTATAAGTTCTGTGCCACTCTGGCTCTTTTCCCCTGCCTATGGCAGTGCAACTGGCTGGTGGCTGCGACCAGTGAATCCTGAGAGGGAAAGTGGGGTGGGAACCGCTGGGGTGAGGGAGACCTCAAGAAGCTGTGGGCACAGTGAGAAACAGATGTCTCGGTTGACAGCTTCAGCGAGATAGATTGTTTAATGGGGGGTGTGGGAACAAAGACTACTAAAACCTTTTGGGGGTAGGCAGGGACTTTGGGGGCCCCTGTGCTAGGGATGCCTCATTTGCTTGAGAAGGAATTCCTGGAGCTGCTGGATATGACCTTATACGGAGAGAGGATGTTTAACCTGGTTACCCGCTATGTGACCTCCTCCAGGGGGGAAGAATGGGGGCACAGGGCTACATGGCCGGGACATGCAGGCCCCAGGCCGGGGAGGCGAGGTGGCAGTCCTTCTCCTGCTCCATCTCAGAATGAGATTTCCAAGGTTTAGACACACTTCCTCCCCACTTTTACCCCTGGCTGGCTCCTCCCGGTTCCAAGGCTCCCCAGCCACAATCTCTGGAAGCTGATTTCACAATTACCAAACCTATGCTCCTGACACTGAGGTTGGCAATGGGACCTTACCCCATGGAGGCCAACACTAACTCCGCCAACTCCTGGTCAGTGTGAAAACTGAACCGCATGGCTGCACAGCCAGCTGATGCCCGTGAGCATCTGACCATGCAAAAACAATCCTCACATATCAAAGGGAAGTCTGTACAGTAAAGAAATAGTTTGGTTTCTTATACTGTGTTATAATATGATAACACTGTATTTTATGTTATATATTATATAGAGTATATTATAAAGGAAGAACTCAGGTGAATCATATCGACAGAGTGGTGGTTAGAGAGTCTGGTCCACTCCAGAAAACTGGGCTGAATAAGAGGACCATGACACTATTAAAAGAGAATGACGTATTTTCCTTTCCCGGTTATTGGGGGTGCTGGGGACCAAGCTAGGGGTCTTCATGCATGCCAGGCAAGTCTTTTCCAAAACTAAACTGCATACCAGCCCTATAAAATGAAATTAAATGGATAAGAGGGGAGCACAGATGTGAGAAAACATAAAGTGTTCTAAT